AAGAACCAATAATGGAATTGGAATCTGTCTTGATAACTAAAGGATTTCCGACAAATTCGTATTTGCTGTCAAAATAAGTTTGTACGCTTAGTCGAAAGAGTCAGTAGGAAATATAAAACAACGGTGAGAACTCAGAAGCTACTTTCAAGAATAATCGATTGATTTTCAGATAGGCCATTGACTCACGAAATAAGCACAACTCATTTATGGACAGCCTTTAATTTTGCCTGGATATTGCTAACCATAAAACGATTCCAGTACCGCGAAGATTACATGTCACGTCGCTTAGCCGCCGTTATTAATCTAAATGGATAAGCAATACGTTTTTTTGTTGCTGTCTTTAATTTATATGAATAGACGATATTTAGATGATGTTCTCTGTCTCGTTCAGAAATAAGTGTTTATCAATGCTTTTCTTTTTTTTTTCTTTTTTTTTTATTAACACCTCAGCTTGAATTTATGACAAAATTTTATGACATTTTTGAATGGTTCATGTCAGTTCTTCACTCAGGAATTTTTGTACCTTTTATTTTCCATAATTTTGTCGTCTCTGTTCAATGAAGGTATATTAAGAATTTATTTCAAATAAATTTCTGGTGATATTTACTGATTCAGGAACAAGGCCACATATATAAGGAACACAACAATTGTGAGAACTTCCTACCGCAGCAAATATTTATTCAATTAACTTGTTACAAATTACTCGATGAAATAAAACATTTAGTTTACTCTTGCCAAGGCCTTTATGTGTAGTTTGTCTTGTTTTATTTTACGACATGACCAGCCTTTCCCCGATTATTTCATGCTGAATTCATTCATTTTAATAAAACATTGTAGATATTGGTAGATATAGTGTTGGCTCACACGTAATTCAAAAAAGCATATATATATATATATATATATATATATATATATATATATATATATATATATATATAGTGAACCTAGAAGTTAACATAGAGGTAACAGTCTGTTTCATGCTAAAGGCAATCGCCAGGTGTCCTGACGATTGCGTCAAGCATGAAACAGACTGTCGCCTCTAAGTGTTGACTTCTATGTTCACTTTTATATTTGCACACGCTCTATCTCTGATATTGATTAATTTATCCCATAAGTATAGCACACCTTAAGACTATATTTTTCATACATATATATATATATATATATATATATATATATATATATATATATATATATATATGTGTGTGTGTGTGTGTGTGTGTGTGTGTGTGTTTGTGTGTGTGTGTGTGTGTGTGTTTGTGTGTGATTGTGTGTTTGTGTTTCTGGCGCCTCGAGGCGATGTAATGTTTAGCAGCTTGTCTCGCTAAAACAATTACGACTGAGTAATGAGTTCGATCCTCTCTGGTTGTTCCCTATTTTTGGCCTTGTGCTACATCTAAGCTACGCTTAGATAATCACCATATGGCCACCTCGACGTGGTGTAATGGTTAGAAAATTTGTTTTGCTAGATCAGTTACGATTGTGAAGTGAGTTCGATCCTCATTGGGTGCCCCATACTTTCGGCCATGTGCCACATCTAAGCCGCGCTTAAAAATCACTATATATAGGTATGTTTTATACTATAGTCACAAGACAAGACGTAGACATAGGTTTTCACGTGAGTAAAAAGAAAAAAAACTTAGAAAGGGGTCTGGTTTGCACTAATTTATAAAATGTAGACATAAGTACAGCAAACAGTTGCCTCGTTTGTTAGTGGTTTTAACCCTGTGCATGAGGATGCAGTCGCTATATTCTTGCACCCAACTAACTAGACGACCGAAACTATAGTTCACCCAGTCGCAATGCAACTCTCTACACAATGGTATATTCGTCTAGTTTATAAATAATTCCTCCAGGGCAAGGCGTCTGTATGGTTTATCAGTTCGGGTTTTTCCCTCACAAGACCGATCACATATGTTGGGCACTCATCGAATTTGCTACTGTAGTAAAGGCTTGAACACACTGATATGTATGTTCAGCTCTGTTTGACACAAGGCTAAAAGGTTCGAGCTTTCGGTGAAGAACAATTTACGGTAACAATTATGAGCGCTTGACCGAGTGGTTAGTACTTTCACGTTTCTGTCATGAAACTCGGATTCAAAACCCGCCATGGTACATTTGGCTGGTTTAGAAGTTGTTGAACTTATCGACATGATAAGACGATTCTTCTGTTGAAAGTTACTTGAAAACCCTACCACGGGTGGATCCAGGCCTTGTGAATTAAATAAGGTTGATGAAACTTTTGACAGATATGCTAACATGAAATTAAATATTATGACCGAAGGTTTGAGCGTAATACCATAGTTCATCTACTGATCACTCCAGATTATTAGATAATATTAACTCTGTTATAAAACTCAGGTAGATGTTGAAAGAAAAAAAAACGTGTAGGCATCTGTAATAGGGATGCAGTTATCTCCCTTGCATACGGGTGTATGTCCGGTATTACTGTTATTACTTATTGTTTTATTAATATTTCCTATGTTTATGTGTATCTAAGACATGTCTTAGATATCGATAAACCTAGTGAAGATCAAAGTCAATGCAGAAGTATTTTCAGCTCGGCTTTTTTACTGATTACAACTTTCCAAATCGGTGCATACTATACTTGTTAAGCTAAGCTTATTTCAGCAAATGGTCATGTGACTTGAGCAATCCCGTGATCCTTCAGTACGTATGCGCTCATACTTCTATAAAGATATTTTTTTTAGCCTTGATCAAAATAATACGTGCCCCATGGCGTTGCTCCTGGCTAATTTCATCCACTTCTCTGTATTGGAAGCCGGATATTTTATCCATTTATGCGAAGGAAACATGGCACGGTCCAATCCTTGATCGCCGACAGCTGGCGGTGCTTTCGAATAAATTGGCCCAGGATGCCATTCACCCTACTGGGTGCATATATAGCTCTTGAGACCAGTCTAACCATTGTACTAAACGGTCGTTAACCTTACAAGATACAACTGACAGCTTAACCTTGCTGGATGTCGTGATACCAGCTTGAACAGAAAAACCAAATGGGGAAAATGAGTAATGGTTAACTTTCTACCAGTAACATTTATAAGATGACCTTAAATGATATGTCTTTATATGTGAATTGCCAAGAAATATGGTGGATTAGTTTCGCTTGCTCTTCTATTCGGTTTTGATTTTCCCTTCTCTCAATCTGATTGTCAACCAATCATACAGAGATCATTCTACCCTGATATTTATTTAACATAACCGGGAGACGGATTGACGCCTTCACTGAGGCATTTGTTCGAAAATGAAATTAACTTCCTAGCCCTGAATTTGAACTCGAGTCAATTCTACCATACGCTATACCACCTACACTCTCCTTCTGCAATTTAATTTGCTATTAATCCATGATTCAAATTTCTAAGCTGTCATGAAACAAAGAATAAAAATGTCGAGAGAAAAATTTTAAATAAATGAACAATAAAGCAAAAAAAAAACACCCACGTTTCTATTGTTTCAACACAGGCCATGAAGGTTAAGATTTACAGATGGAACAAGATGAGTTAGCAGTCACGACTGTTTCAAATTTAACATTGTGTTTAAATAATAAACAATTGCTTACACGGATTCCTACTGAAAACTTTAATCACATGCAGTCTGAATGGAAAGAAAGAAGAAAGCACATCACAGAGGTTTTTTTAAGAGCGTTTTCCGAGGACCCATAAATATAACCTAACTCATTGGCTAACGGCATGCCGATTCTTATGAAATGGGCTTTGTTTTCTGATCAGATATGCATTTTATACCGACTCGATTCATTTCCTCATTTGTTCTAATAAATGAAATTATATTCCGTAAAACCCCAGGAAAATACACTACAATATTCTTGGTTTTATTTTTTTATTTTTTACTTTCCTTGTGGTTCAGCAAAAAGACAAATGGTGGATACAAAGTCTTTCTTTTTCATTTCCAATATGGTTCTTTTTATCATTCACAGGCTTCCTATGAATTCCTATTCCCTTGAATGCGCGTGTATGTGCGTGCGTTTATGTCTATGCCTGTGTATGTGTGTGTGTTACACTGAAATTCATTCCGACCGTTATTCTTCTCCATATTTTTGTTTTTGATGTATAAAACATCAAGTAACATTCGGAAAACTTGAACCAAATATATGCGTGTGAGTGTCTGCGTGATATATACATATATATATATATATATATATATATATATATATATATATATATATATATATATATATTTGTGTGTGTGTGTGATTGTATATATATATATATATATATATATGTATATATATATATATATATATATATATATATATATTTGTGTGTGTGATTGTATATATATATATATATATATATATATATATATATATATATATATATATATATATATATATATATATATATATATAATAAATATATATATATATATATATATGTGTGGGGGTGCATGTTTATGCCTGTATGGATTCTGGCGTCGTTAGCCAACGCATGCGTATTCCATCGGCACATTACCCATGAGTCCTTTCGTGAGAGTAGAAGATTCATCATGGCCTGCACCTGAAATTTATTTAAATGAGAAAGTTTTGCGCATTAGTTTCTCTTGTCAATGCCCACCATCCGGTGCATAGGCTGCCACCAGATGAGCGGCGTGCAAGGATGCAATGTAATTATTTATGAGTTTGGTTTGATCAGGAACACAGATCCTTAAGGATAATTTGAACTCACAAGTGATGTTTATTCTTTGTAGTTTTGATCAAAAATAGATTGACTGATTCGTTCTCTACAGCTTACCAATATTTGCAGCTTATTCAAAGCCAGAAAACAAGTTTAGTTTCTAAGAATTCTGAGGGGGAGATAATAAATATTTAGTGATACAAGTCTTACTAATTAACCCATAGCTTGGGGAAAGAAGAGGTGAATTCCTAACTTTCCAAAGTATTTTTAAGCGTAAGAGAATATAAAGAACCCTTCACGAATCAATAATTCCATTTCATTATCCACTACACCTACCGCACATCGAAGCTTACGGTACCTGGTATTCCCAAATGTTCACCCATATAAGTACTGACAAGGCGCGATGTTGCTTAATTCTGGTGGTTGTATGGGAAATGGTGTTTCAGTTTGATATGGTCTAAAGCCGGTCGAACATGAATATTTTACAGTTGCCTATCTTCGGTGATCTTACGAGAACTGGTGTTTCAACATGATGTGGCGGTAAACCTTAATATAACAGGCAGGTCGTTTATGGATATAGACATTGTTGATATAGAACACACCAAGGGTGTGTGGGCGACTTGTCGCCGCCAACTCAAAACCGCCGACTCAACACTGGCGTCTCAATACCGGCGGCTCAATACCGGCCTAACTAATCTCCGTGAAAACTCAACTCCAGGACAACTCACCACCAGCCTACTCAGTGTGATGATAACTCAAACACATGCAAACTATGATATTTTTACGTCGATGATTTGAAAACAAAAGTAATTTATTAAGGATCATTTTTTAATACATAATATGGAAAATTGTATGCAATCCCCCTCAAATTTTCAGATGCAGATCGTTGTGAAAAAGAAGAAACAATCTGCAAAATTATTTCATCTGCCTTCAAAATACTCCTTCAGTTTAGAGGGACGGGCTGCATGTCGTTTTTTTTTTGCATCTTTTGCAAGCCGGAAATGAATCTCCATAGTGAGGGATGCTCTTCTGTGTTCTACTTCAACATGGTTATTTATCCGATCTTGGAAATTAAACACCAATCAGCCAAATAGGCTGTTGTAGCCAATCTTTGAAAAGCTCTACGACGCAAAGCCGATCTAAGAGATATGCACACTATGACAGCCAACACCGGTCTGAAGCTATAAATTCGGTGCCAGCGTTGAAATGTTTTAGCGCTGAGCAGGTCGGTAGTGAGTTGTGTTGGCCCGTGTTGAGTCGGCTGTGATGAAATATCCAATCGCGCATAAATGTGACTCACAGTTTTCTGTTTCAAGTTATCTTCAGACCATCTCTACTACTCATGTTCATTCTCTACGGCTTGAATTGAAAAATATACTTCTAATATTGGTTGTCAAGCGTACCTGAACGTGGCAGTTGGACGGACCATTCAACACAGAAAGAAAAGATGAACATGTTCCGTTCTCAAGGATTTCTTCTATATATGTAAGTGGGCGATCATTGCTCTCCACAACTTCCTATCCCTCGTATCTCTTAGCAACGTTCGTCCGTTTGCCTTCTATATGTCCTGTCAGTTGTAGCGTTGCAGCTCAGACCAGAAATGTTCGTTCTCAGGATGCGTTTTTTTCCAGTCGGATGCTTGTGGCTTCCTGTATGTGACCCACGTCACTCTCGATAGACCATGGATCTGCACCCAAAGAGCCAGCTGCTGATGACGGCGGCGCAGTATCTGTTATGATTATACATTCCCACACAGAAGTGACAGTCTCGTTTGCAACGAATCCATGAGAAAAAAACATTCGCCCGATGTCTTCTTCTTGGTTTCTTTCCTTCGTGTACAATTCCCACCGCCACCCCCGGTGGCCAGCCACCGCTTCTTCACTCCACGCTCCAGCCTTTGATGCGAGCCATTGTTGGCGACGTTTCCCACCTCTCGATGTCCCAATGAAACGAAAATGAGGTTGTCTTCATACTCTCTTGTCGGTGGTCAGTTCCCAGTAAATAAGGACCTTCGGGAAACTTCCATCAGAAGACTGTTCCTTCCAGTCTTTTGCCATCGCAGTGATGTCACACTGGAGTGCCCTCTCCAGGGTGCAAGCCTGGGCAGAGTTTTATGAGAGACGGGGGGTTGCCTACGTAGCGCGTTTCCCCCCACTTCACGCCATCGAGGTTGTTCCCTCGAATACAGCTTGACACCGGAATCGCAGGAGATGCAAGGACGAAATTGAACATAACATCGTTCTGTGCTAGGCATTCCTTCTCCGGATTTGTCCTCGGGGTTTACTAAAAGGAAAATAAACCTTTAACAGGATTGTTACCCAAAATAAAGCCAATGAGACCAAAATGTAGCAGTTGGCAAATTTTATTCAGTTGCAACCTTGACGTAACGGCCGGCTCTAGGCGAACGAGAAAAAGTAAAGCAATAAATGTGAACCTAGGATGCAACACTGTATGATGACAGTTAAATCCACGCTTTACTATGATCGAAAGACATTCGTGGGAATGAACGGTGAAATTGATAGTATCCCTTTAGTGTCCTATGTCAGTATATTATCTATTCATTATATTTTTATTAATCTATCTATCTATCTATCTATCTATCTATCTATCTATCTATCTATCTATCTATACTAGCAGTAGAGCCCGGCGTTGCCCGGGGATGTAACAGTAAGAGATAGATCAAGTATCGACCATCATAAAGACTGAAAAATAAAATTGACAAAGATTATTGTTTAAGGTTGACGGACACGCATGTCTTAATTATTATTTTTTTTTTTTTTTTTACGAATTGGTCAAACCCAAACTCAAACAAAAACATTGTTTACAATCGTTATGAGTCTATAGATTGCTGAATAGAATTTTATTATAAACAATTGTCTTGTAAATGGAATTATTAAAGCATTCTGAATGTAAATAAAGAAAAAAGTGTGCAAGACAATAAGAAATACTACCTGCCGGAAAAAAAAGTGGATGTTTGTTTTATCGGCTGAAAAATGTAAGAAATTCGATCCCATATATAAAGGAACACACACACACACACACACACACACACACACACACACACACACACACACACACACACACACACACATAAACAACCTGGGTTTTTAACCTAAGTCACTCCACGGAATCGCTAAAACATAGAGCATAGTCTGATGAAAAAAGACGCCAAAGTTTATGAAAACAAAATTTTATCGTCAAAATGCTTATGTTTTTTATGAAGAGGATAGACTAAATTTTTTTAATTACTTTTTAAAAATTTTTCCATCTTTTAGAATATTCTAAATTTTGATTTAAAAACCTTGTTTCTCTTTGTCGCAACAAGGGGTAGTAAATAACAGATAATTTTAGCGCGTTTTTTTTGTATTTACACATTAATTTGGAAAATCTTGCAAAAATAAAAATAATTGTCAGATGTTAATGAAACTTTCAGAAACTATTCACAGATGATCAAAATTATTATAAATATTTTTTTTATTAAAGTCATGGCAGAAATATTTTTTTTATATATTTATTAACACCCCATAACTAATTTTATGAAAAACTCTAGAAATTGAGACCATCGGTTTTAGTGATTACAAAAAAAGCACAAGGCTTTGAAGAATGCAAATCATGTTTCTTTTTTCTTTTTTTTCTTTTTTTTGGCCAACGTGCTTGAAAATCAGCTGTGAATTGTAACATACAAAACTCAATAAAACAAATATATTATTTAGTTTCAAATGCTTTTATTTGTTTTTATGAATATGGACAATATTTTCTGAAAGCAAAAAAAATTTTTCAATGAAAATTGAATTTTAATAAATTATTTTTTATTTCTTTCATTTTAAAAAAGATTTTTAAAAATGTTTAAATTGAATTTTAAAAAATATCTTAACATTAGTTAAAAGCAACATCAACCTTTCAAAATGTCCGTGTGAAAATTTGTATAATTTGGACCAATCAGATTAGCCATGGTAATTAAGAAATGTAATTTTTGTGTTTATAGTCGGACAGTAATTATCAAGTACGGAAGACCAACCAGAATAGAATTTAGTTGCATTATTTGAGTTCAGCATTGTTCTCCGCTGTTAAGCCCTTTACTTTTGCGAAACACGTATGGAGAAGTTAATTTGAGTTTTCAATTTCAACTGAGAAGGGTACCTACAAGTAACTAACAGTATCATCTTATGAAATTTAACTACTGCTAAACTTTAATTTATATGATCTTATTTTTATATTAATCTCAGTTATGACATTTTTCCATAAATGAAATATCAAAATTAATAAAATGAATGGAAATACAAATAACACAGTAAAATGTAATAAATGTACATAAAATTATAGTATTTTATGTACACTTCTGATAAAATTTCACAAGAAAGGTACCTAAATTAATTAGATACCTTTTTCTTATGAAATTTAATCTCACTATTAACAGTCTTATTTTTTAATTTCTTTATATTTTCCATAAAGCATCGTAAACGTAAAAATGAAAGCTAAGTACAAAAAAAAAAAAATAAAAAATTAGAGCGCTGAAAGTTTTCCTTAAAAGTAACAAGGTAAATAATTTGTTCACTTAAATAATTTCACTTCGTTCCATCCGTAGAAAGAATTCTCCTCCCGTAAGTTATCTAAACGTCATGAATGTGCCTTTCGTCAATCGTCAAGCGACGCGAAAGCTTATGACCTGCTTTGTTTTATTTTCAAATTACATTTTTTCGGCGCAGAAGCTAAGTTAAGCTTGGTTCAAAATATTTTAAATAAACAGTATAATTTCTGTTTTTATTAAAATCAGTTTTGAAAAAATGATAATTGATTTTTAAAAGAATATCAAAGTAAAATTTTAATCTTTTTTATCAAATCGAAAAAAAATGATTGAAAATGATTATCTGTCCTTTTTTTTTGACCAACAATAAACAATATTTTTAACGAAAATTTTAGACCTGCTAGGAACGATTAAAAAATGTAAAAAAAATACCCCCAAAATACTTTGATCTTTCCTCTTTAATAATAATATGAACATTAGACGATAAAATTTTGTTTTCGTCAAGTTCGGCGTCTTTTTCATCATGCTATACTCTTTTGTTTACATTTTCGTGGGTGAGTTGTCCCCCTTTCATTCTCACGATGTGTGTTAATCGCGTTTTCAAATTGATTTTTATTAAAAACAACTGTCTTTTTCCCATTTTCGGCCCCGTTAGAACCACCACAAGGTAGTTTTATGTAGTCCTGTGAAGTTTTGTTGAAATCGGCTAAAAAATGTAGGAAATTCGATCCAACATATAAACGTTACAGACACACACACACACAACCTGCGTTTTATAATAAGTAAGATATATATATATATATATATATATATATATATATATATATATATATATATTTAAGCGAGTCCGTTATTCATCTCTCTCTCACTTTCTCTCTCTCTCTCTCTATATATATATATTAATATGTGTGAGTAGGCGAGTTCGTTCTCTCACACACACATACACACACTTCCTTATCTCTAACACACACTTTCTATATGTATGGTACTTATACAACTGCTTAATCATGATTTGAATATGTACACACACACACACATATATATATATATATATATATATATATATATATATATATTTAAAATTCATATCTATTCATCTCTTTCTGTCTGTTTATATATATAAATATATATATATATATATATATATGTAATGCAGCTTTTAATATGTATGAGTAGGCGAGTTCATTATTCATCTCTCTCTCACTCTCTCTCTGTGTCTGTCTCTCCCTCTCTCTCTCTCTCTCTCTACATATATATATATATATATATATATATATATATATATAATGCATATTTTAATATGTATGAGTAGGCGAGTCCGTTCTCTCACACACACATACACACACTTCTTTATCTCTAACACACACACTTTCTATATGTATGGTACTTATACAACTGCTTAATCATGATTTGAATATGTACACACACACACACAAATATATATATATAAATGCCATATCTATTCATCTCTTTCTGTCTGTCTATATATATATAATGCAGCTTTTAATATGTATGAGTAGTAGGCGAGTCCGTTATATATATATATATATATATATATATATATATATATATATATATATATATATATATATATTTTTCATGCATTCACAGGAATGTCGTTTGAGCTAATCTGAAAATGAGATTAAGTTTGTAATGCATTTCCACTGAAAAATAAAGAATAAATACTGTACAAGTTTGTGTGGAGAGAGGACATTTTTATTCGCTAAAGGTGCCACTAAAATCTCATGTCTTTCCCGAGTTTTGTTTACTCTAGGCACGTCTTTGACCTGACAACAATGCCGCGTGTAAGTATACAAATCTTTCTTGTTATGCGGCAATTGATTTTTGCAGGAGTTTCAATGAAGAAATAAAAAGCAAATTTGAAGTAATGAAGAAGAAATAGAAGAATATGACTAGGGAAGAAGAAAGTGATAATATAAAACTGAGTAAAAGACAAAGGAGGTGTAGGAAGAGAAGGAAACGAGGAAAAGAATGAAGATGTAGAAAAATGAGAGAATAGAAGTAGACAAATAAAAATGGATGAGATGAAAAGTGGAGAGAGGAAGGCGACGAAGTGGAATGGGCGGAGCGAAATGAAGAAAGCCTTAAAAGGAGGCATAAAAAGACGAAGAAGGATAAGATGAGAATGTAAGGAAAGTTGGAAGTGCGAGGTGAGAAGTGATATACGAAGGTAAATTGCAGAAAGAAATGAAAAGAAGAAATAAATAAGGGAAAGAGATTAAAGAGAGGGGAACATGTAAATATGAGAAGAGAAAGAAGAAAAAGACAATGAGCAGCAAGTGAACGCTTAAATAAAGACGGTGAGAAAGTAGGAGGAGGAGGAAGAAAACAAGGAAGAAGAAGAAGAAGAAGAAGAAGAAGAAGAAGAAGAAGAAGAAGAAGACGCGCGAGAAGGGGAATATATATATAGGAAGAAAAAGAGAAGAAATGTTTGAAAAAGTAGAAAAGGAAGAAAAATTACCAGAACGTGGGAGTAAGAAAGAAAGAAAGAAAGAACAAAAAGAAAAATATGAAGAAAAGTAACATGAAGAAGGGAAGCCAAATAAGAATAGAAGAGAAGAAAAGAAAAAGGAAGAAGGGTCCAGAAGGAAAGTAGATACGCGAACAAAAATAAAGAAGCCAGAAGAAAAAGAAAAAGGAAGAAGAAGCCAGAAGAAAAGAAGAGAAGAAAAGAGAAAGAAAGAAAAAAAATGTGCAAAAAAGAATATATACAAGAAAAATATGAAGAAAAGTAACATCGAGGAGGGAAGTCAAATAAGAATAGTAGAGAAGAAAAGCAAAAGGAAGAAGAGTCCAGAGGCAAAGGAGATACGAAAACAAAAATAAAGAAGCCAGAAGGAAGAGAATAAAAGAAAAAGTTGCCAGCAGAAAAGAAAAAAAAAAAAGAAAGAAAATACAAAAAAAGAATATATATAAGGAAAGTAACATTTAGGAGGGAAGCCAAAAATTCGGGGACAGTTTGATCCGTGGCAGGGAATAGGGTAAAAAAGGACTTTACGGTGTGGCCGGATTAAAAAGAAAGAAGAAAAGAAAAAGGATGCCAGAAGAAAAGTAGAGAAGAAAAGAAAATGGAAGAACAGCCCAGAATGAGAGGCCAGAATAAAAGTGAAGAAAAGATAAAAGGATGCCTCGAAAAAGATGAAATAATTGAAAGAAATGAAAAGGTTACAAATAGCTATTAAGCAGAGAAAATCTAAAACAAACACAAGAGGGAGAAAATATAATGTGATAGAACAAAAGAATACGGAATATAACAGGATTCAGAATAGGAATAATAATTTTTCTATACGCCGCTTTCTTTTAGGACTTTAGCGATCATGTCTCTCCAACGACACCTTTTTCCCATAGTTGTTTCTCCCTCTGTTAAGCATCGCCTCGTTCCTTTATCTATTCACACGAGCTCGTCAGTTAGATGAATCCCTGTTTTCCCTTAGCTCTCTTGCTCTCATATATGCCATACGAGGATTTAGTTTTTTTAAACCCCCTCCTTAGTATATGTCTAATAAATATCAGACATCTTTCTGCTTCTGAGTGTAAGTTTTCTTTGTCTTGTCATTTGCTTTAAGACTTCCTCGTTGCTCCCTTCACTTCGTTCAATGGTATATTCATTTTCCTTCTGTAGAAAAAACATTCCAGTTTTTTCCTCGTCCATTTGTCCCCAATTCACTGCAATCATAGCAATTCCTCACTCTTTTTTTGTAACGAATTAGTTTTGTTCTCAGCACCTGACTTATCTTTTGCAGTGCAGGTTTCGCTAATCCAAAGCATGGACAGGATTCCGTTTTGCCTTTTCGATCCGCTGCTAAGACACTTCCCAGATCTTTAAAAATCTCTACCTGCTTGACATCTCCAATTCATAGCTAGTATCTTGGGCGTTTTTTCTGGCTGACCATCATGGCTTCTTTTTTTCTTGCAGTTGATGTTTAGTCTTTTTTTCTCACTTAGTTTTACTGGAGAGCCTGCCTGTAGTTTTCCTTATGTCTGCTTAACTTTTACTGTGAAGATTACGCCCACCAATAATAAATCATGTTAGGGTCTGTAGATCCTTCAGGAGAGCTTCGATGTTGAATAAATCTGGGAAGAAGATGCATCCATGTCTTAGGTGTTTGTCTCCCAGTATAAGTTCCGGATTATTCTAACACACTTTTCAAATTGATAGAGTTTTCTCAACAGTTCAGAAAGATACTTGAAATAGGGGCGCAGAAATTTGTAAAAGGAAAATGCAAGGGATGAAGATTAAATGAGTCAGAAAAAGGCTACAAGAGTTGCCAAAATAAAACACAAAAATTGATAATGCAATGAGAGATATGTAAAAGAAGATCCAGAAAGCATATATATATATATATATATATATATATATATATATATATATATATATATGAATTCGAAAAGCAAATAAAAGGAGAAATTCGACAACTAGTATGATTTAAATCATCAATTCCCAAGCTTTTTTGCGCAAAATCGTTTTCATGAGAAAGGTCCGTGTGTGTTGCAAGACGAATCACGCACATAACAAAACACTATGAACAAAACCACAATAGTCAATATATTTTTTCTTTTTGTTTTGTATGATCCACGACCCGGTACACACACAAAACACCCCCCACATATATATATATATATATATATATATATATATATATATATATATATATATATACGCACAGCTCTTCATATGAATTGAGCGCTGTGGCTGCTGATTTTGGCGTACATATACATCACGAATATAATACGTTAAAAATTTCCTTTTTCAGCCGTGCATCGATACTGATGCCAAACAATCTGATGAGACGTGATACAGTCTTGTCTATATATATATATATATATATATATATATATATATATATATATATATATATATATATGTGTGTGTGTGTGTGTGAACAAAAGAATAAATATATAGGAATGTAAAAAGATGAATACATAACGAGACTTCGCTATGGAACCTGATAAGCTGTGGAACATGTAGCTAAAATTATTGCCATTCATTAGTCGACACAATCACTTGTCAAGAGGGAGATAGATGACCGTGGGTGGTGTAGTGGATAATGGTTCGGAGCTGTTAATCTGAGGAAGGAGTTCCATTTCCTCTTGGAGTCGTCATATTCATTTACACGCAAATAACCTTGGAAAAGGTTTGAATCCACCTCTTCTCCCCCAGCTATGAGTTAATTAATGAGAATTGTATCAACAAACGATTATTATCTCCCAAAGCTTTTTACAATCAAAAAAATATTTCCTGGTCTTAAGGTAACCTGAAAAAAGTTGATAAGCCGCAAAAACCAATGAAAAATCAATCATTATTGGAATACTGAAAGTTGCCCTTGAAACTGTAATTCATGTTGGATGTACAGCAAATCAGGGGAAAAAAGTCAGGATCAACAGCAGTGTAGTAATTCTGGAGTATTGAGGAGATTTACTGTCAGTTAATCTGCAGTGTTAAGATGCAGTGAATGAAGAAGATAAAGAAAGAAAGAAAGAAAGAAAGAAAGAAAGAAAGAAAGAAAGATCACGGAGAGGAAAAAAAGAGAGCCTCAAAAGGAAGAATAAAAACCAACATAAAGGACATTGAAGACATTGAGGAAACTTACTGTCACTTAATTAATTAGACTTGTATCACTAAAACCATGATTGTCTAAAAAAAAAAACGAAAGAAAAATTGCGCGCAAACTATTTAAATCTCAGCATTAAATAGCCTCTACCACTAAACAAAGACGATCACCAACGTTCGATGTTCTGAAGTGACACCGAGTAGAAAACATACTTTGGTATCCCTTAGATGCAGACGTTTTTGATGGATATTAAATTCGATTTAATTACTATTTTATAATATTTTTTGGCATTAAATAAACTGCAAAGGGTTAATAATTCATTTGATCAATATTGGAATACTGAAAATTGTTCCGAAAACCATACTTAAAATGTTGGAAATAAATCAGGGAAAAAGTAAGTATCGACAGCATTAGTAATTCTGGTGTATTAAGGAGACTTACTGTCTCTTAATCTGCAGTGTTAAGATGCAGTGAATGAAGAAGATAAAGAATAGAAAGCAAGAATACGGCGAGGAAAAAGAAGAGAACATCAAAAGGAAGAATTAAACATATATTAAGAAGAGAATTGAAGAAAAAGAAGAAGAAGAAGAAGAAGAAGAGGAAAAAAGAGACAAGAAAAGAAAAAGTCAAAGAACAGAAAACGTGGGAAGATAACGTAAGAACAACTAAAGAAAGAAATAAAGAAAAAACAAGGATAAAGAAGAAAGAGAGGAAGAAGTAAACATAAGAAGAGAGAGAAGAAAAAAGACAGTGCAACAAGTGAACGCGACAATAAAGACGGTGAGATAAAGAAAAAGAAGGAAGTAGAGGAAAAGGTAGCAGTAATGGATGATTAGTAGGCCGAGGAGGTCGAGAGGCTGAGAAGGAAACGTAAAGAGGTGTATGGAAAAATGAAAAGAAGTAAGAGAAAGATGGATAACTAAGGAGACAAGCTAAATAGTTCGTTTGGCTGCGAAGAACAGGAAAAATGAGATCGGAAGCGTCAAGAAGAAAAGAAGAAGAGAAAAAGACGATTTGAATTACTGCAAGAATACAAAACAACGGCCTACGTTGTGTTTTCACTTCAATCATACGATAATTCGTGCGCCGTTACCGCTAGATGGCGTGCCGGAACAAGAAGCGGGAATTGATTAGTCGCAATCTCTTGTGACACTGATAGATGGCGTTATGCTAATAAACCACTTTTGTTCCGGCGAAAGATGCGGTGATATTGATTATGTTGATGATAATGACGAGGAACTAAAAGAAAGAAACGTTAAAATAAATACATCTCTGCTGACATAATTGATGCAAAAGACATAACAAAACAATACACAACACACTGTTTCCTTGCACCGACACGTACACCTACCCGAGTTCTTGCGCAGCCACTGTGTATATATAACATGAAGAAAAGGTAACCAACCAGTATCCAGCAATAACTCTCTGAACAAGCTACATTCTTTTATTTCACCTGCCGAGACCTTCATAGCTAGAACCTACCATGCCATGAAACACGGGGTCAAATCATCTTCATCTCCTTCGAATTCTTTCCCTAAGAAGTTTCCACTCAGATCCTTCCCCCGCACTGTTACGCTGTGGAAAAGACTCCAGTGAGGACTCTTTCCCGACCACTACAATGATAATATCTAGTTTCGGGTCAACAGATATCTATCCTACATATCCTCATAATATGCACCCCTTTCTTATGCCCTCTGTCTTGGGCGACCCTTGAGCCGTGTATTGGATGAACCAAAGGTTAAAAATAAAAAAATAACTACCGACTTGAGCTGGGATCAACTGTAGAAATCAAGTCGAACCGGAAATATTTGATGCACATCTGACTGGAGTTTGTTTGTTTAGCACAGGGGCATACCTTACTGAATACCTTCCAGCCTCGTGTAAAAGCATAGAAACAGTTTGATAGATAGATAGATAGATAGATAGATAGATAGATAGATAGATAGAGAGATAGATCCAGAATGTTGTGTTTTCGGGGACGACATTTATTAATTTCAAAGGACAAAACTCTAATCTCTTTCATGATAGGATTCTCTGATTTCGATACACTTTATCTACTGCTTTGAGAAGGCCCCACAGGGAGTCACCCAAAATGAATATGTTCAGGTCCCTTGTCACAGCTTCTTCTCACTGTCTTCAAACCGACTGCCTCTGATCTTTTCCTTCAGCTTGGGAAACACCAAAAAGTAACAGAAATCAACGCCTGTACCGTAGGGAAGGTGAGGTGGTGTTTGTATGCCCGTCTCTCTTAATACATAACTTTATTGCATAGGTTTCAAATTGTCTTTATATACTGACTGCATTCTGAAAACTAGTCAGTTGTGACAAGCAGTGTATAGTAGGGTGTATTCAAAGATGTTACAGCCGTCCCCGTCAATCTGGAATAAGAAATGTTTTCAACTTATTAGTTATATGGTAAATTTGTCAGTATATAATTGTATAGTGTGGTTGCACGTTATTAGTTATATAGTAAAGTTTACTAAAATTACACTAATCTGGGATTAGTTATAACTGCCTCTCCAAAGGAATGTTTTTCAACTGCTGGAATGACCCACGTAGATCGATAGAGTTGCTTAAGACGATAATCAATTCTGAAATAAACTCTTTAGTTATTGCTGTCCGTTTTATTTCTTTCTCTTCAGTGTAAAGACAGAGGCTTACACACGTTCCAAGACACTAGAACATTTGCTAATCGAATGAAGTGCTTTATTCGAAGTGTTGCCAAGCGTAAGCTGACACTAATTTCTGTTGTCAAATCTTTGAGGAGATGGCAAGAGATATTCAAAGAATCGGTTGATTTAACTTAGATGATCAGGAATTGAGTACTTAGAATATTTTTCCCTGTCTATCCTTTTCCTAAAATGTAGTTTCTATCACTTTGAATTGGTAAACAGACCTTCGTGGTGAATTTAATTAACATCTAAAATAGTAAATTTTGTATCGGACTTGACATTGGATTAATTCAAGACGTATCGTTAGATATCTATAAGGTAATTAATATTAATAATTAAAAAACGTCATTCGGACTATTGTCCTCATCTTTGTCGGCATATTTATTACAACGTTTCGGCCTTTGTACGCTCCGGCCTTCTTCAGGTGGTTGGTATGTCGAACTGGACCCTTTATTTCGCTCACTGGGGTAGACTTTTCTCGTTCCACGCGACATGTTTAATGGATGTCAGTTGTCAGTTATCTCCTGTTAGTCCCCCTCTACAAGTTCTCCACTGCCTTAACCAGGTATTAAACTCACACTTTTTTGGGTCCTGTCACTGGATCTAACTGACGCCTTTATTCACTGTGACATGTGTCCTTGATAAAGGGTTCAGTTCGATATTCCAACCATTTGAAGAAGGCTGAAGCGTGCAACAGCCGAAACGTTGTAATAAATATGGCGACAAAGATGAGGACAATAGTTCACATAATGTAAATAGTGCACATAATACCTCATCTCAGAAATATAGACAGATACTGAAGGGCTGAAACATTGTAATAAATATGGCGACAAAGATGAGGACAATAGTCCGAATAATGTAAATAGTGTACATAATACCTCATCTCAGAAATATAGACAGATACTGAAGGGTCGAAACGTTGTTATAAATATGGCGACAAAGATGAGGACAATAGTCCGAATAATGTAAATAGTGTACATAATACCTCATCTCAGAAATATAGACAGATACTGAAGGGTCGAAACGTTGTTATAAATATGGCGACAAAGATGAGGACAATAGTCCGAATAATGTAAATAGTGTACATAATACCTCATCTCAGAAATATAGACAGATACTGAAGGGTCGAAACGTTGTTATAAATATGGCGACAAAGATGAGGACAATAGTCCGAATAATGTAAATAGTGTACATAATACCTCATCTCAGAAATATAGACAGATACTTAAAGAACGTATTCTTCGGTGTGCTGTCTCCATTCAAGATATCGGTGATCATGGCTCTCTACAACATCATCTTCTTGGTAGCACTTAGTAAAGTTTGTACTTTTGCTATCTCTCCGAATTCCTGCTTTCCTCTCAACCTCTTCTTTCTTCATTATCTGACTTAGAAATTTCAGTTGTTTCTTTTTTATGGTAAGCGTCCTTTTTGTTTAGATTTTTCCTTAAACTCTCTCATTACTCAGTACATGGGATACTTAGTATAATTCTGTAGAAACTTATTTCTATTGACTCAAACCTCTTCATCTCTGAGGAGATTCTCTAGCATTGCCTGGAATATAGGATTACCAATATTACATAACAGTTCAGCGCTCTTTTCTTGTTTCTAACGAAATTTCATGTTTCTTAATACTTAGCTTTTCTACTGCACCTTCTGATTTCAGTTCATGTTGTTCTTCCTCTCTTAAAATATTTCCTAGAGAGATACATTTTCGTTCTTAGCTGTTTCTTTTGCTTACAGCCATTTTGCAATTGATGATTAGTCCTTTCTTCTCTTTTTTTTATATTCTGTAGGAATTGCTGTGTTTTTCCCTCTCTGTGCTTGCTACCGACAATGTGTCATCTGCAAATCTTATGTTATGAAGATTGTTGCAGCCAATAATTCTGACAGGACGTGTAAAAGTTGAATAAATCCGCGCTTTTTCCTCAGTGGAAGTTCTGAATTATTCTATTCTTCACAAATAAATCACCCTTACGTAGCAGTTAAAAAGTTATTTGAAAAACGTACTGGACTTTATATCATCCAATAAACAAAACACTGGAATTGACTGCATTCCACCTGTGGTGGCATTCACCCATTCGGTTGAACCGGCTCCGTCAAACGAACACGTCGCATCCGAACAAAAGCCGACCAAGTGTAGCAGATGTCGTATTCATTGGAACGTGCAAACCCGTAGTAAGAGATTCGGTAGGAATTTGGATTCACAAGAGGTCCTCATCCAATTCAGTTTTCTTCTCCGAGACGGGTTGCCGCCCAAGGTCGTCCTGTTATTTTACCTATAGGGAGAAATGTATTCATAAAGAAAAATAATAGATGTATAGCATTAAGTTTATACATCTATTCTTATTAGAAACATTGTGAATAGATTGTTTCTTTTACAAAGATAAGTTCCGGATATATCTACATTAATGGAAGTTCCTTCTTATCAATGGAATGCGAAGAGAATGACTATAGTTCGCCCCCCCCCTGTTTTAATGAACGATTTTAGCTGTGAAGGTCTAAACTAGTGAAACTAAAAATTGTAGCTAGTCAGAACATTTGGCATGGAAATCACGATAGAATAGAGATAAGCTTTCGACATTTTGTCTTTTCGAAAGCAAATGTAGGGTTGAAAATAATTCATCATTCACAAGGCGGAATATATGCTTTTGAAGATTGGTAAAGTTGAAAAGTAAAGATTCAACAACTTATAGAGCATAGCTGCAGCATACACCCGGTCGGTTGAGCCGATTTCAACAAATGAACAGGCCTCATGCGTAGCAGATGTCGTATATATTCAGATGTCCAAATCCATAGTTCGATGTTTCAGTGGGAATTTGGATTACCAAGCGGTCTCCAGCTGCATGTGTACAGACTATTAGAATAGTTTCCTTGTCAATTAATCTCCGCTGCTATTTTACCCACAGGTGGGGGAGAAGTGGTGGATTCATACTTTTCTCAAGGGTATTAGCATTATCTCGATGAGCAGTGATAAGCTTGCGACATTTTGTCTGTACTAGAGTAAATGTAGGGTTAAAAATAATTCATCACTCACAAGGCCGAATGAATGTTTTTGAAGATTGTAAAGCTGGAAAGTAAAGATTCAACATCTTATAGAGTATAGCTGCAGCATACACCCGGTCGATTGAGCCGACTCCAACAAACGAACACACCGAATCCGAAAAACCAAGCGTAGCAGATGTCGTATTCATTCGCACGTGCAAATCCATAGTGCGAGTTTCAGTGTGAATTTGGATTCATAAGTGATTCCACACCGCATGTTCGCTGTTTGATTTTGATTAGCAGCACATCAACCTCTATGTGTTAATTATTGCCGAAATCTAAATATTTTTAACAAAGTTTTATGCCTTCATCTACAGTTAAATAGTATTTTTCTATAAAAAATGTATTTTTATACATTCATTGTGTTTGGAAGTTTATTTGCCCATCATCATCATCTTGCGGCCTCAGCCGAGATTGAACTCACTACACCTTTCCAGTATTCCTTATCTTCAATACTTTGATTGGTGTAGTTCGTAATCTTGTCAAATAGCTGAATTCTTGATGCTTCGCTAGGGCTATCAAGGGTGTTTTTATCGTGATACCATCACTAAATGGATTGCCAACCAAGGCTCAGAGAGACTCCATTCACCCTCATCTAAGAGCAGGTTTGAATTCAGAGTTTTCCTTCTCTTAGACCAGTTGCCATCCAAGGCTATCCTGCTATTTTACCCATAACTGGAGGGAGAAGAAAGAGGATTCACACCTTTCCAAAGGTTTTAGCACGTAAGTGAATGTAATGGATTCGACTGGAATTCGAACTCGGCTCTCCGTGCCTCCTATTTGCCCATAACTGGGACCCTAACAGGTTCTATCACACCGGGTCAGGGCGGACCTGGGAACAATATCTATTAAGAGGTCCCAGCCGCATGTATATACACTTTTATGATAGTACGATCCGGTTTGAATTCAGAGTTTCCTTCTCCTAGACTGGTTGCCACCCAAAGCTATAAGATGTGGATCCTACCTTTCCCAAGGCTATTAGTGCCTAAGAATTCTACCTCAGCGCCCCGACCCCTCAATTTATACCTCCCTGTGTTACACGCTTTGATATGAATGCATTAGTCTGATCGTATATTTGGTATTATAATTTTCTCAAGAACTCAAGTTATCTCGACATATCTAGCAAAGAACAATTAAGAATAAAAGATGCTTAGAAAACCGAGTATATCAATTAAAATAAGACATGGGAAATAAGATAAATATTCCCATATGTTTACGATTTACTAAATGTTACGCAAAAGATATAAATAAAATTAATAGTAATTACAAGT